AAATATAGCTGACAAATATCTGAGTTTCACAAATGTATTTGTGAATTAAATGACTTTAATTGCTTTTGAATTACTCTAAATTTAAATCAAATCGAGTTGACTCAATAGTAATAATAAAATAAAAATTTATTATTACTGCTTTAAAGATCAATACGTAATATGGATGTTTCTTTGGTTATTTATTTCCATATTATGTAGGTTAAACGTACATTTTTAAAACTTTTAAGCTAAAAATAGGTAGCAGTTATTAATAAAATAAAATAACGTATAACTGTATGTATTATATACGTCAATTTTGTTTATTTCTATTAGTTAATGAGGTTAAATAAAAAACCCGCCGGAAATTTAGATCTAATGATATTTGGCACTTCCTGGGTTGCGTTTCTAAAAATATTTATTATCAAAAACTCAATCGCTTGATTATAATTACGGTCAAGTTTCTGTCTTGATTATAATTACGGTCAACTGTCGATAAAACTAGAAGTACAGGAGATTTCAAAGGCAGCAATATATGGCGCAAACCAGTTAAATCAGCAGCTGTCAGACAAGCATGTAAGTAATAAAGTAATTTATTACTTATGTGCTTTCTAAAACAATTTCCAAAGTTTTGATCAGTTAATGCTTAATAACTTTAGTTTCATAAATTTTATATATATATTTATGCGTGTATGTGCGTATTTCTTTAAATATGTTTCGTTTTTCCGACCGCATTGCATACAATAACAGAGGTTATGTGATGGTACCAAATTTAGCATGTCGAAATTTCGGCGGAAATGCTTTTCTTCATGTTACATTTCTGTCTTTTCGTTTGTGTATCTGTTTTTGAATTCTTGTATCTGAAATTGGGTTCAATCAATTTTCACGGAAATTTATATCTGAGTTTACTTTGGAAGTAGTAAAAGATTTGTTTAGCTTTGTACATATTTTTCCGATTTGGCACTTTCGATTATTAATAAAATATTAAACACATATTCTTAAAATTTTACATACAAGCTTCTATTGGCACTACGGCAAGGAATAAATTTTCCAATTTTTCAAGGAAATAAGGTGTCAGAAACTAAACTGTTTCTATACGAACCAATTTTACATTTTTTCTTAAATACAGAGAATTAATCAATAAATTTTCGTTTAATTTAATGTTTTACTTGTAATTGTCAACGAAATGAACTGGGAAACTTTCCAGGGAAATTAGATTACTGAAAACGAGCCCCTACTAAGAACCAAATTTATAATTTTCTAGATCGATTAACTAACTTACTTCTAGATCAATTAACTAACTACCTTATATACCTTTAATATAATTTTAAATAACTGTTTAATAAGGACAATTTCATGATTTTGTGCAATACTGTAGAAAAGCGGTCGGTAATGTATTGGCCACATCATATGGGTTTTATTATTAAATATATTTTTTTATATTGTGTAGAATTTTACTATCTTACTTTAATATCGTGTTTTACAATCTATAATTTTTTTTATATATTTACATAAATAAAACTTATAAAATAGAAATATTTTTATATTTATAAGTAAATAAGTATGATGTAATCTTTTCTTTTCCATTTTTCAAAACTAAATTTAATATTTCATGAAAATGACAATTTGAAGTTTGTTACAAACTCAACTAAAGACGCATAATATATATGTACGTTATGTATGTACGTATGCATACATGTAACATGCGTGGAGATCGTATCATTCCGACTACATTCAACTTGACTTCTAATGTCAGAACTCAAAAAAAAAAAAATAGTCCATAGCATTCAGACAATATAACAAAAATAAACAACACTATTATACGAATTAAAAATTAATGTTTGCACTATAGAGGAATAATGTTTTTACATAGCATAAGTTTTATCAAATGAAACTCTGTTACATATGTTGTATAATCTATGAAATGCTAAATAGAATTTTATTGAATTCGGGGTTGCAACATAACTCTAACCTAAAGCCAATAATACAATCAGTGCGTTCAATTTGCGTACCAAAATTTGATCTTGAAGCACTACCTCGAAACCTATCTGCAATCAATAAATTTTGGCCTCTTGTAGGGATTGAGAGCACTTTTTTTAATTTTGAAAATTACTCTTCTACACATTTGAGGACTAGACAGAAATAGAAATTTGTTTGAAATTTCAAATATTCTTCAATCTTTCTCCACCACATCAAAATTGTCACTCCTGCAGTCAACAAAGTAAAATATAATTTTCATAACACCATTGTGTACATAATTTATAGTGATATGACAGGCAATTTTTCTAATTACACAATGGAACTACTTTTTTTGAGTGCTCCTGTTTTAAATTAAGAAACTTAATACTCTCAAAATTACAAAAATCGTATTCTGCATAGCACTATGAGCTATATACACAATAACAATACCCATTACATATTGTATAGCAGGATATCTTATAGTTGTCTTGAAAAATTACAAAAATTTATTTAATAATTATTTTATATAATATCATGTAAGTTATTTTGCATTATGAAAATGAATAAAAACTTTGTATAATAATTTGACTACATTCAGCAATAATAAAAAAAAATGTGCGAATGATTTTTGTCATGTCAGTATACCAATTGTACTGCATTATGATAAATATAATATTTTTTATTAATATATAAAAAATATTAAAAATATTAAAAAAAATATGTAGTTTTTATAGACAAATTTGTCACAATTTTTAATATAAAAACCAACATATAGAACAAAGTATAGATTTTAAGCACGCGTAATAAATATTTATTGATTATTATTAAAATGTTTTAATGTAAAATGATTAATAAAGGAAAGGAAACTTATGGTCTTATACATAAATATACTAAAATAACAGTATATATATTAATTGTCAATATATTATATAAGATATCATATTAGAATATCCATGTATATATAGAGGGGAGGTCAAAACTATTAGAATTGTATACCCGGTTTTGTAAATATATTGATTTCTAATTTATATAACGTTCTATTTCAAGGAAATTATGATTTTGTATTTTATATAATATTATTATTACTATTAATAAAACTTATTATTAAATCGCTTATTTGAAGTTAAAAAGAAAGAGGAAATGATTTCTAACAATTAATTTTTGCTACCTAAAGTCACTAAAAGCTAGTACAGGGCACCAATAATTTCGTTGTATTAAAAGTAACAAATTTGATAATAAGAGTTAAACTTTGGAAAAAGTTAAATTTTGGGAAATAAGAGTTAAACTTAATTAAGAAAGCACATATAATGAATACATTAATTTTAATCTGATTATGAGAGGGACTCTATTAAATTCACCATCCAAAAAATAACAGTATTGAGGATACTGTTTAAAATGCAAGTTAATTATTTTTCAATTAATTTCGATACAATAATTTTCATATTTTTGTCAATAAATAGTTTTGCAATAAAATTGTAATTTTTTGTTCTATATAACTACATATGGTTGACTTAAACTCAATAACTCATCAAATATATTACTAAGACCCCATATTACAATTTCGAATTTCAATTATCCGATCAAAGTTACTCAAATGGGAAAATTTGCAGATAAATGGCAGTAAAAAGTGTAATAGGAAAATCAAATACAGCATAAGCGCATTACTTAGTTTGTGTTAAATTGCTTTACTCTAATTGTAAATTTTTCATATTTAATTTTAAATTTCTGAAAATTCGATTGATATTTTTGAAAACGATTAACAAAAATACTTGTTTCTTTCAACCCTCGTTTCATTTTTTATTTTTACTTGATTGTCTTTAAATTTATCCACCCGTTTATTCACAAATCTGTAAAAATAACTTTTGTGATATAAAGTTAAAATTTCTTAATCATACGAATATCATAAACAAATAAATATCAAAAATTCATTTCACAAACAATTCCGTAAAGATTAGGACTCGTTCTTTCTATATACCTAAAAGTGTAAACAAATGAGTTTGTTGGGCTTTTTTAAAAGTGCAAACAACATTATCCAACGTCAAATCCCGAATTTGTTTATTTCAGCATTATTTAACACAATTATTATAAGAAATGATTAAATTTTTCCGATGACACTCAAATTTCCTATATTGAATAAGAGAAAATGTGTTACTTTATCCTCAGTTTGTTTTTAATTTCACATATTTTATAAGAATTTATTAAACTTTTGTTTAATTTTCAATTATACCATTTAGACTATCAAAATTATTAGACTAACTATCAAAGACTTGCAAAAATTCCTTGTTTCATAGTATATAACATGCATTTACCAGCAGAAAACAGTTTAAATTTATAATCAAAAGCAAATTTTGCGCATATTTAAATATAGTTATAGCAAATGTACTAAAATTTTTATGTACTTCAATTTTTACAAAGGTCTACTACTCCAAAATATTGTATTCCAACACTTTTTTCTTAGCAAATCAATATTATTCTTCATAAAAATATTAACTAAATTTATAAATTTTACAAAATTAAAAAAATAAATTTAAAAATATTCATAGTTATTAACATTTATCCCGATAGATGGCTTTAATATATTATTTTTAATGAAAATTTTAACCTCACACTTCAAATTTAAAATTAAATTAAAATAATGAAAAATTTTAATGTAACTTTTACATACATACATATATATATGTACAAAATTTTCTTCTATAATTACTTTTTTTTTAATTAATTAAAATTTTTTATATACTCTTTTACTTTTTAAAATATTTACAGATTAAAAATTACAAGCATATTGGTGATTTGATGATAAAAACACAATCGTATATAATTTTCTATATATACAAATTAAATGTAATTTAAAACCCGAGTTTTATTGTACTCGTATGTTACAAGTTTATCTATGTAAAAATAATATGAAACTTGAGAACAAAAAAAATTAATTAATTTATGTGAATTTTTTTTTAATTTTTTAGTAATTTTCAACTTTTTTTTTTTTAATTATTTTCTATTCTTTTAAATTATTTTTTTTTTGTTGCATTGAGGTATTTTTCACCGATTTTTCATTAAAAACTTACGGGGAAATTTTTTTTGAGTTGGACGAGATGTGGCACGTACCACAAATAAATATTTTCGTAAATTTGGTGGCGGTGCCATTATTTTTCTCTTTTTCTCATTTATTCTCTTTTATTTTTTTTTCTTATTTTTTTATTTTTTCTATTTTGTTATATGAAATTTTTTTTTATTTTTACTTTGTTACTGCACAAATACTTTTTAATTTTTTTTTTAAATTATTAAAGACTACTTTGTTTTTTTTTTTCTTCAAATAATTAATTTGAAATACAAGGCATTGGAAAATCCTGACTTTTGGAATATTTTTGACCCAACACAATTTTCATATTTATATTTTTTAATTACTTCATTATAATTTTGAATGAATTTGAATAATTTTCGAAAGCACATTTTTTCATTATTTGATTTTTTTTTTCAAATTTAAAACTTCAATAAAAAATAAATATTTTTTTAATTAAGAAAAAAAAATTTTCGTCTCAAGCCAAACATTTTGTATTCATAAACGAGAAATAATACTAAAAATTTTATTAATTGCTCATTTTTTTATGTGCTTTACTTTTTTATGTTATGACCCGCGTGAAAAAATAACGAAAATGAAAAAGTAAAATAAAAAAAAAACACACAAATATTTCAGAAAACAAAAACAAAGGACAACATTTTTTTTTTCCCAGTTCACATAAAAATTTTCGTTTTGCTTTCGGTTTTTCTTTTCTTTTCTTTTTTTTTTGTATTTATTTTTAGTGTGTGTAAGAAAATAAAACGCGACGTAAGACTTCTTGTAATCAACTAAATTTTTTTGTTATAGAATCATTTTGTATTTTGTTTTTTTTTTTGTTTTTTTTTATACTTTTTTATTTTTTCTCAGAAAGTTTTGTACTTAATTTAGTTTTCAAGTGGTGGTTAATTTGGAAAATTGTCTAATGGAAAAACTTTGAAATTTTAATGCATGTATGAATGTATTTATGTATGTATTGTTTATACATACATTTTTATCTATATTTGGGTATAATGGAAAGGTGTGCTTAAAATTTTGTGCGTGAATAATAAATTATAATAATAGTAATAAATATATTTAAAAAAAAATGAAATAAATGTAAATATTAAAATGGAAATACAAAAAAAGAAAAAAAAACAAGTTTTAGACCAAATTAATGATTTCTAAATAAGCACATTTTAGTACAAAAACTTTTTGACATAGTGAAATATCGTTCCAACATTAAAAATTAGTTAAATTTTTCTAATATTATGACAATATTTGTATACATAAGCCCTTCATGCTGACAAAGGCTCTTTCATGTATCTACAGACCCAAACCAAAAATAAAGCCATTTGAAACAGATTAAAATTTCTTTTTACAATATGTCAAAAACAGAATTCCGCTAATTCATGGATTTGCCGTTGTGGAAACGATATAAGAAACTAAAGCTTGGAAATGCAGCATATTGTAAATACAGCGCTATTTTACACGTTTAAACTATTTACCAACCGCATTTAATACAATATAAAGAAAGCTATGTCATACTCACAAGTCACATTTTCAGCGAAAATGCTTTTTTGCTTTTTAAGGAAATATAAAAAAATAATACATATATTTTTGTAGATAACTTAACTTGTCTATCTGTTCGTTTGTAAATCTTAATTTTGGCTGAACCGAGTTTTTCGATTATATGAGTTTACTCTTGCTATATCACAGATTGGTGATTTTTAGGATATGTCAAGTTTCGAAAACTGGACGATTTTAAATTTTTTATAATTTTTAAAAAAATATTCAAGAGATTTTCTTTAAAACTTATATATAAACAAAAACCCATTTTAATTTTAGGAGAAATCAGGTGTCAATCACGTGTCAAAAATTGAACTGAATTTTTTGAAATTTAATGTTTGGGTTCTCCTTCCGAACTCAAATACCTTACGAAATTCTCAGAGAATCCAAGTGGCTTAAGTTATTCTCTGCTAAGAACCAAATTTCCATTTTTTTTTTCAAACATTTTCATTAAATGACATTTTGATATCCTTATAGGGCTGTATGAAACTCATTGTAATTTTATGTGGATGATAATAGTGAGAAAAAATATAGAACGGAGTTTTATAATAAAAGAAAATGTGAAAGTGAAATAATTTTGAAATAAACGAAGCAAAACGAATTTACTTAAATTTATATGAACGCATTAATAAAAAAAAACTAAATTAAATAAGAATTGTCCGTCGAAATTCAACATAAATATTTCAACTTTCTACTTTTCAAGTTATTCAAAGTTAAAATTTTATAGCCGAGTAAATATTAGTAAAAACATTAGTTCTCAGTAGTAAGATCAAAATTTTTGTATATATGCATACATATGTCCACCCCTTCAGTTATAATAAATTCTTTAAATTTGTGAAAATCCAAATGACAAGGGCGAATGGTCATTTGTTAAAATTTGACAAAATTTAATTTTTGGATCATCTATTTCTTTAACGAAAAAACATCCACTTATTAAAAATTTTAAAAATTATGCCGTTATGTCTAAAGAAAATTAATAAATAAACCACAATTCAATATTTGTATGCGAGTATTACATTTTTTGAAAATTATTAACTTATGATTCAAAAAGTGTATGCTAATAAAAAAAATATTTCATCAGAACATAGTTTTCATTATTTATACCTAAAGTTACACTCCTAAATATAACATCTGTAAACTTAAATTGTTAAAGGAAATGTGCTCTTCTATGAACACTGAATTTGGCCGACGTCGATTTTTTTTTCATTACAAATTTCAAGTGTCATGTTGTTCTTGGACAAAATAAAAATAATATCACGGGTTAATTATTGGTAACGACACATAATTGTCAACCTTTTATAAACTTTCAATTTTAGTTATTTGTTTTTTATTATTATATTTAATTTTCATTTTCATTGACAAACTTTACTTTTGTATTTCCAACGAAATTTGAAACTTATCTTATCAGTCTCTCTACGCTCGTCCATCTGTCTGTCTACAAAATTTCTACATCCGTTCAGATAATAAGCTGAATTTTTTCCACTAATTGATCCTTGATAGAAACCGATTGTTCTTAAAAGTTTCAAAATTTTTTGTAAAGAATAAGATTTGCAAACATTACGGTTTTTTTTTCAAATTTTTCTTCTTGGTTTTTCACAGTTTATAGAAATTAACAAATAAATTTTATTTTTTCGAATAAAATACGTTTTCTCTTTCTCAAAGTTAGCAAAATTTTTAATTTCCACCCCTTTATTTTCTCCAAAACGTTGAATAAATTCCCACCGGAAAGTATGCAACATTTTTGAAATATTTTGACACATTTCTGAGAATAATTTTTTAAGTAGAATTCCTTATGAAATGTGCCACTCTACAAACCAATTGTCATAAATATTAATATTTATAACAGTTTTGTAATATTGTGAAAATGTTTAACGTTGGTATGAATTTAAAGTAAAAAGTTCTATTTCCTATACCTAACAAAGAATTCTTCGTTATTTTATTAGAATTTTTCATTTTAAAAGTCAGTCACACTTTCTTTACAAGATGATGTCTACTTGCTTTTTTTTATTTTCCTTAATATTTTTGCCCACATAGCTGTCTAAAAGCTTAAAGAGTTTTATGCCTATCGGAAGCCTGAAAAGACCCTCTATCGCTATGACGTCTGCCATTTTAACTTTTTTGTCTTAGTTCACGTAGAATTCCCATAAACGATTTATTAGACAATACGTTTGGTGTCTGCAACCTCATCTCTTTTCACGTCAACTTATACTAACACTAAAACAGCTAAACAGCAATTCGAGAGTGCCGAATATAAACCTAAAACTTTAAGGTTTGCACATTGATGGCATACTTCTCAGCCTGCAACTGAATAGGTTCAATAGGCTGGAAGTATTTGGCGCTTTATTTCGAATATATTCAAAACCTTTGTATGTCTTTTAAGTCTCTACTTAAAATTTTTGGATTTTCTAAATATTAAATGATAATTGCAATTATCTAATTCAAGTTAGCAAAATTTAATAGGATTTCAAACCGATATTTTCACGAACAGATTGAATAATATAATCTACAAGCCGTTTGCAACTTACATTACGTTTTATGACTAGTAGAATTTCAGCAAAAATGAAATGTTGTCGATTTGGCAGTTTGAATTTCCCAAATTAATTTTCAATACAAATTTTGTTGGAAACTGACTTCCAACCAATCATTTTCGAATTTTATTTTTTTGCTCCAATTTCTTTTTAATTTCTTTTTATTTTTATATTTTACTGACTTATTATTTTTTCCAATATATTTATTATATTTTTATCTCACATATTATAGGCATTCATTGAAAAAATAAAGAAAATTGACACAAGAAAAATATTATGACAAGAAACATTTTATTGCCTACTCTTAAGAACCTAATAATTCTATACAAAATTTTTGTTGTAATCTATATTAAACCACCTCAAATGAAGAGCTCTAATTTAATAGTACGTTAGTAATATTATTTATAGAAAGAAATTAAGTAAGGGGTTTAAAAAAGAACTCAAACAAAAACAAATGGATGTTACGTGCACTAAATAAAATATTTTTTCCGATAAAAGTCACACAATATTCCGCGTTGTTTCTTTTCACAGGGAGGCGGGAAGTAATTCACTTTTTTTGTATAATACGAGTATAACCATTGTATTTTATTTTATTTATCTACCTGACTACTTCATTATGATTTTTATACTGTTGTTTTATTGAAATTATTTTCGCAATATTGGTGAAAAGTAAACCTATAAACTTTATGTATCATGTTACGATGTATGTATATATTTAAAACCATGAAATCTTTAAGTGCCTTGAAATTTACTACACCTTTTTTATTTTATTCTATTTTTTTTGTATTTTAATCATTAATGTGTGTTTGTTTGTAAATCAAACATTAACTAACATTAAAGACCCTGTACAATCCGGTATTTAAGAAGTTAATTAAAAAAATGCTACCACTAGCATGGAAAATTTCGGAAAATTTATGTAAATATACTTTACTTCAATAAACGAGTTGAAAGTTTGTGAGTCAAATGGGAACAACGAAATAAGCGTAAGTGCCATATTTTTATCACATTTCCAATAAAATTTAAAAAATGTAGTTGATAGTCTTTCATTTTGGTAGATTGTGTTAGTGCCTCCATATCAAAGAAAAAATCTGAGACCGACTCGTCAAGAAACGGCGTGTGGATGTATGAACAACATTTAGAGCGAAAATGCTTGATCGAAAGAATAATTTGTTAAATATTTTTTCTTAAGAGGCGATACCA